TACACTCAAAAACAACAGTATGAGTCGCAGAACGAATATTCCATAGTTTCTTTTTCATCTCAATAGTCTCCGTTAACTTCCATAATAAGTTTTTGAGTACAATTTCTGCTTTCAATAATTATGAAGGTACGGTACCTCATAATTTATTACCAATAACAGCTTTATTCATTATAATCTATTTATAATTAAATCAAACTGCGTAAAGACCTGGGCTTTTAAGGACTGGAAGTCATTCATGAATCGCACAATTAGAACCTCATGTTTCTCAAGGTAAAAGCGGACCAGAACTTCCGTCAAACACTCCCCGGTAAGTGACTTCTCTCTGGAAAACAGAATTCTACTTTGCCTGGAAAGCTCAGAAAATCCAAACACTGAATTTTACAAAGCATAGATATTACCGTTGTAAACGACTCGTTAGTTTTTGCAGGTAGGAACGTAACTGCAACAAATTAAGTCTAGATTGTTGCAAGTACATCAAGTAAGCTGTTCTACTCCGATGTTCGTCTTTCAGTGTTCGTAACAATTTCCGTATCCTAAAAAATCAATCAGTAAAGTATTTGAACTCGTTAAAAACTCTTGGAATTAAATTAGCGCCTTCCGATAAGCAAACACCCTCCTGCAATCCTGCAATTCATAGTAAACAAATATGTATTTTACAAAAGTAGCAGGAGAGACAGATAAGTTCAATAAGCCTTTTGAGCGCCCAAACGGCTTATTCATATTTCGTGCTATAATACAACGTAACCTGTACCCTTTTCTATCAAATGTTGTTAAACATCTCAGAACTTCGCGAATTTGAGCGCTCAGAGTTTTATTCTGACTATTGATACTTTCAGCAAGCAGCACATTTAGAAAATCCACAAGATGTTCTGACTCTGTCTTTTCGCCGCTCCTGTAATATTTAATTCTTCAAATACAGATGCTTTCATGACAAAGGCCTGAAAACCAATGCAAACTAGACTACTTATATTCACCACTAATAAGTGAAATAGACTGCTGCGAGTATTTTTAATAAATCTAAATATAAAGCAGAAATAGAAAAATTTACAAATATTCATGGAAGATGGCAAAAAAGTAACCTAGAACTTTTACTAGTACGAGCTGAATTTAATGCGCCAGAATTATCAGATAGTACTGATGAGCTTGCCAAACCAGGTACAGAACCGACAGAACTCAGAACAACTCTCAATTTCCTCTTCACATCTAAGAATGCTCGGCAGTTGGTCAAATTAGCTGCATCGTAATATAATGCTGTTGGTTCAACACTCTCCTTCGAAGTTAATACAAATTAGTATACTTTAGAATTCTTAATAAGCATAAATGACAGAGATGAAACTTACAACAGAAGGATTTTTCACCGCTTCACTACAGGGCTTTGTCGGATTCTCTTCAGATGAGTGAGGTAGTGACTTTCCTTTGTACTTGTCAAGAATAGCATCAGCAGTTTGCAGCGGTTTTTGGGATGAAACATTCAGTGCGTTTAGCGAACGACTTTCAATCAATCGACGAGGAGTTGCTAAGAAGATGTTTATTACAATACTGCGTTTAAAAAAATTCAAACAAAGGAGTTTTACAAATCGAATAACGGAACACCAAAGAGTTAAACCTCCCTACCGTCCGTGTCCTCACTATTGTTGAGTTTTTTTTGGCACCTCTTGGAGTTTGGAGAACCAAGATCATTAATTGAAGACGACTGTGACAGAGATTGTCGCATAGTACTAACAGCCATGTCTGAAAAGATGAATTCAACGTTTTTCTAATAAGTCAAGAAACTTAAATTCTTTCACAAAATCTACTTCCATGAAAACTTCTATTACCTCTTTAAAAAAGCAGAAAGAAAATAAAGCAACAAATTCACAAAACTAACCTTTTCTCATCTTCAAAGTTTCTCCCACTTTCTGTAAACCATGAAATATATTCTTCTTTAGTCCAATCGACTGAGGTTTGTTTTTTGCTGAAAAAAGAGTCAATTTCAAAAAATACTTGATGTTCCATCGTCTTTGAACCAAAAATTAAAGAAGTAATTAAAAAATCCCTGATACTAACTTATTAGAACTGCAATAATCGAACTGAAAAATTGTTGCAAAAACTCTTTAAAAGTAACCTAGAGGAGTTGCATGTTCATCAAAACTTCTCCCTGTAATTTTTGGCGCTGGTTCTGTACTCGTCCACTTTGTACGTACTTCTTCTTCACTGATTTCGTTCCCGTTCCTCTCTTCATCTTTTTTGTTCTCAGAATTATGAGACTTCATCTAAAGTCTCAGCATAATTCAGGGAAAATCAGTTAAAAATTATACCAGAATAAAGCTACCGGTGGCGTCCGTCATACATTTGTGTAACTCCACTCAAATCAAGAATCAGTGAATGTCTCTAGAAAACCCAGAAAGCAAAACACAACTGAAAATTTTACAAACTCTTTATAACTTTCTAATACTGATCCTGCCCTACTAGAAGAACTCTCTACTCTGTAACGGTAACAAAAAATACTAGAACACATGGTATTTCACCATTACTTTTTATAATCCGGTGCTAGTAATAAAGATCTTTCCGAAACCTTGACATTCGTAGCACCCGATAAAATTTCTTAAAAGGATACACTTGATTACGAGCGCTGTTTGATGAAACTAGGTAATAAACTACTACTCTAATAATTCACTTTCATTTCTTGAGCTTAGAAAGTGCAGGACGTTAAAAAACATCTCATTTATGTAACAACTAAACCTTTCAAATTTCTAGAATGAATTAGAAACAACAGATTCTTTGTACTCAAGTTGCACTTCACCAGGGCTGTGATCCCTGTTGAGTAACTTTATACATAAGATGATAAATTACTGGAATTAACGACGCTAATCCTAAGCAAGTGCACATGCAGGAATCTGAGTTCCTCATAGGACTTGAAGTCCTTAGAAGCTCTAGAAAAGACAACATCTAGGCAGAAAAGTTAAGTAAAGCAAAAAATAGTCTTTGCAAAGTACAAATCCTTCAAGCGCAGCTAAGCAATCCATTACAGTTATTTTTTTAACAAGGTACCTGTCAAAACTCCAAAAATGCAATACTCAACTCACTTTTACCCATCTGATAACATCTAGTTAGTATATCCGACATTCTATCAAACCCCAAAAACACTGATTCAACAGAAATTTGGAGGTTTTGAAAAAAAATAGATTCACATGTCTTGCAAAGTGCCTGAACGCAATTTAATAAATCGCTCAGATATTTTTTTTTTAAAAACAATCCTTTACCCCCTCCCCTGCATTCAAACAACCGTAGTGGTCTGGAAAGCAATGAAGTTTAAACGCGCACCAGAAACTAAAAGTGACCAGTATGAAACCATCATCCTGTGGAGTAAAAAATAACGACGCCTCATACCATTTCTGTGGAGACCTCATTAACCTTAAATGCCCCAGAAAAGAACAGAGGGTCAAGCAGATAAGAACTTGAGGGAAGCGGTTCTTGTTAAAATGATATACAACCAAATTACCGTGATTGGTTCATCATGGAGGTCATTGACTTCCGCCTTCAGAAAATCATTCTTTGCGTTAGTTTTTGATGGACTCAGTGAACCCTCTCTATGGGCTATGCTGTTCGCACTGCTTTCCGCATCATCGTTGCAAAACGACCCTGCATTTGCCAGAACAGATACAGCAGGACTCGATGGTGCCACTATTTCCCCAATGCTATTTCGGAATGAAGGAGTATAATCACCCACGAGAGATGAAAGAACATCATCATTCAGATCTCTAAAGAAACCTGCCATAAAATGAAATAATATTGGTTTTATTCAAAAAGGGCGGTTAATAAAAGCCGAATCACCTTTCAACCCCCTGACTTCTCAACAAACAAATGCCATTTTTAAAGCCTTCAACAACAACTGTACTCCAAATAATTTCTAAGTCTTCAGGAAACACCAAAATTAGATATTTTTCTTCATTCTCTAACTAGCTCTACGTCAGCAGAGCCTTTATTTTGTCATAAGAATGTCGAAAACTATTCTAAAAGTGCTACCTAATTAACAGAAATATATTAATTCCTTCGGAATAAAAATGTATTAAATAAAAAACCATACACTCTGACAATCTTCCCCAATTACTACTAAAACCAAAGTGTTAACAGGCGTGTCCTCCCGAAATAAAACCAGGAATCAATTACAAATATGCGACATAAATTTAATGAAATATTACTTGGAAAATTCAGAATCAACGTCTGATTTAGAATAGAAAGAACTTCCACTGGACTGACGTCGCAAGCGTCCAGTACTACCCACTGAAGTCCCTGCTGTAATTACATTTCCGGATGTTGCACTCGTGATGTCGCGGAATATGGAAACATCAACAGGCCTAAAGACTGTCCTCAATTAATATACCCAAAAAAACCCTCAAAATTCACAAACTTCCTATTTCCGCGAGAATGTCCGGGAACTAAGGTGTCACTAGAAGCCGGATTTTCAGAATTCAAACTACGGCCTGCTCTAGCACGAGCTTGTGCTGCAGCACTGGCACATATCGCTAAACTCCCACTGCTTTCGCCAGAAACAATACGAGAACTACCATTACCACTTGCTGCTGAAAAAAAGATATAAAAATCAAACTTCAAAAAGTTTAAAAATACCATCCATCAAATTTAGGCTAGTATATTACCAAGCTTATAAAGTATTAAATTACAAATTACAAAAAAAGACGAAAATTTAGGCTACAAGGAAAACTTCTCCAATTTCTTGTATTGAAAAACGGAGACAATGATTCCAGAAGTCTTCTTTATCATAAAAAAGAAAAGGTAACTAGGTGAACACTAGGAATATCCAAGTTTGTTTTAAAATGTAACATACTAGATGTTCTTTCAATTAAATCTGGCTCATCGATCATAAGTAAATCATCGTTTCGCGCTGGATCAGCCTCTGAATCACTAGCTGTTGCATCAACGGACCATGTGTCACTTCGATCTTCGGTGTTTACAGCAGGAGCGGGTAACCCCGCAACAAAACCTCCTGGCTGAAACCCTGTAAGAGATATTACAACCAAATGACCTACAACTTCAATTCTACTCATAACAGGAATAAATATTATACTTCTAACAAGTGGCAAGCCTTGATGAATGGCCGCCACGCCATGCCTACTAGGCCCAGCTTCAGTGACTGCTGGAAGTACAGGTATGACCGGCAACTGTCCAGTAGGGGCAGAACCACTGACATCATGCCTGTTTTCGGAAAGAAATCCCTCCGTATCAGAAGGAAGTACATCGGTAGACCAACTATCGCTTACCAGTGAATGCGTGTCGTCACCTTTAAATAAGGGAAGTATAAAAAACATTAAAAGTCCTCGTTTATTTCTGGTGTACTTCCAAAGAAAAAGTTGAAAAAGTGTTCAAGAAAACTCCAATTCTAACTAAGAAACTATTAAAAAATAATTGAATAATAGAGCAGTCAAATCCAAAACTACATTATACGCCGCTGCATAAATTAACGAAGAAAAATAATAGAAGTTTGTATAAAAAATGAAAAAAACAGAAGGTCCACTTGTTTTCGAACTTCAATAAAAGCTTTCTTCGCTTAAGGAGGACTCTATCCATTTTACTTATCCATCATTTTCTAATAGAATTAACCTGAAGGTGAAGCTGCACTATAATTTGCGATTCGTTGGAATTAAGGACCTAAAACTTCTAATTAAAAAAAGAAAGGAAAAGGAATGCTGCATCCAAGAAAGGGATCACCAGAAAACCAGCTCTTCAAGATTCCTTGCAGCACATAAACAACAGAAGGAAATCCTCCTCTGTCCCTCTCTCTCATCGGCAATCAATGATAAACGAAGTACCCCAAGTCATGTTCGGTACCATAAAAAACAGTTGCCCGTGCCTTACCTAGTTGTGTAAAACAGATGCAGTAGAATAATATAACTAGCAACAGTGGAAAGCAAAATCATTGTAACTTTGCGGTCGTAAACGTAAATATGAACAAGTGCCATATAAAATAATGGTTAACTAAGCCCAATTTTTTACAAGGCTAGGCATAATCCCCAAAATTATTGTACTGGCTTCCAAGGCAAGCAGAGTAAAGTTGCGATAAGAACACCTAGAACAAACCAAGGACCTGAATTTTGTAGAAGCTCAAAAACTTTAAAAATCAGAACGACTAGCAGACAGTTGAAAGGTAGTTCGTACTGAGTAATTCACAGTAAATAGAGTTCAGTAAAGGCTTTCATCCTCCTCAGTAGCTGTAATTTTCTATTTGAATTTCGGCTTCCTTCTTCTGTGACAGATAAGATTATAAAATTGCAAGTAACTCTCAGCGGTCCCGTGACACAAGGTAAAGAAAAAGCTAACGATATTTGTGTTGTCCATCCTGCTGAGGAATACCAAACTTCCCAAACTTGTCTTCTAACCCTTCGGTATTTTCCCGTCTGACAGAAACTGGTAGATTGGGCATATGCCGTGGCGTCTCTATATTGATCCCTTGACCCGAAATTCCAGAACTATCTAAAGCAGCCTATTCTGTTCCATAATCATGACAATTCACATAAATTAAAAGCATAATTCAGAATCTAAGATTCTGGAAATATGTATAAGAACATCAAACCAACACTTCTTGAAACGCTCAGATTCAACTTTGGTTTCTGTAAATTAAAGCATGCTTATAAGTATAAATCTCTCCATTGTAATAGTTATGGCAGAGTTAAATAGAATAAATTTAAACGATTTAGAGTGCAAAAATAAACAAACTGTAAGTGACAAAAATTTATTTGTTAAAAGAGCTCGTAAAACATCTTAGCTAAAGAAACTTTAAATTCAGCAATTTGTGACTTTTGTCTGTCACCTTTCATTGAAACTCCCTAACTATTTATTAATGTCTTAATTAATTATCTGCACTTCATTTAAAATCTAACAATTCTGGTTTACTTCTTGATCCGGGTCAATGTACTTAAAAAAACTCTTTAACTTTCCAACTCAAAAAGCGCTGGAAAAGAAAGTTTCACTAACAGGTACTTAAAAAGTTCCGCACTTTTTTACCACCCTGAGTGGTTGTTCTGACGTGGTGTACCACTACTGTCGATAGGGTCTAAAAATTTTTACATAATAGCGCGAGATTTCTTCTAAAACGGATTAAGTTGAAACACTTATTCAAGATCTGATCATGGTTACAGCAATGATTGTTTACAGTGATTAAGACTCATCTTTACGAACCTCATCACGCAGTTCCTAACTAAAACCTTTTAATCAATTTAAAGGACAACGGCGGGAAGTTGCATGTATGTGAAATCTATGAAAACACTTCAATAAAGTTGGGAGTTGTTAATTTTCAAAAGTATCAGTTCAAGATATACAAAAAAATACAGATGTTGGTAAAGAACCTCTAAAAAAGCAAAAAAATGCCTCACTTAAAGCTTTCTTTTGTGTACCACTCTTCTAGATTACGGTCTTTATTAGCTGCTCCCTAATAA